CAATCCATTCCAGTGGAGGTGGGCTTTAGCGTAGGTCCTGACCCAGTCGCCTTTCGCGTCCACCCAGCCCAGATGCAGGCTGATGTGTACGTTCGGTTCCTGGTGCCACGGCTGCGTCACCTTAAGCTCAGCCTTGACGGCATTCGGCGGTGGAGCCCCGACCGTGACGCCGCGGGCCCACCACCCGATGATGGACTGCGGCGGCAGCGCCTCGATGATCGCCCGGATCTGGGCGTGCAGCTCGCCGGGGACGTTGCCGGGTTCGATGTAGAGGCAGGGCGTGCAGCTCCGTTCGCGTCCGCCCAGCCTAGATGCAGGCTGAAGCGTATGTTTGGTTCCTGGTGCCACGGCTGCGTCACCTTAAGCTCAGCCTTGACGGCATTCGGCGGTAGAGCCCCGACCGTGACGCTGCGGGCCCACCATCCGATGATGGACTGCGGCGGCAGCGCCTTGATGATCGCCCGGATCTGGGAGTGCAGCTCGCCGGGGACGTTGCCGGGATCGATGTAGAGACAGGGCGAGCCGCTCGCCGGGGACGTTGCCGGGATCGATGTAGAGGCAGGGCGAGCCGCTCGCCGGGGACGTTGCCAGGATCGATGTAGAGGCAGGGCGAGCGGCTGGCGGTGTTGAGCGACATGATGGTGGCGATTAGAATGGAGAGGACACTCGTGGCTTGTGGGTGGTGACTAGCTGGTAAGCTGTGAGGGTGGAGAGTGAGGGTGGAGAGTGACAGTGTGCAGTCGTCATGTCCGCGAACTCGGTGCGTTCCAGTCGCTCGCCCATATAAACGTCCCGCAGCGCCATTGCGTGCCGGTCTCCTTCTGCCCGGACGGTCCTATGGGTCTGCAAACAGCATCAGCACATCGGCATCGCTACAACAAAAGACTGGGACCCGTTGTCAAGACGTACCTTGGACATATCCAAAACTGCCGACCGCAGTTGACCCCGGGTTTCTTTGTTATCAGGCTTATACAGGGCTCGTCGTGCCCTTCACAGCGAGGGGGCGGCTTCTTGGAGAAGAGCTTCACCCATGATTCCTTTGAGGCTTGCGGGTCGACGAAGGGCTCGGTGGCTGGTTGCGGGGGTGCTTGGGGTGGGGCGTCGGTGACATCGGCAGCGGAGGGTTCGACGGGTCCGGTGTCTGCAGAGCGTTTGCGCGCGGGCGTTTGGGAACTACTCTCAGGATTAGTGTTAGCCTGCTTGGGCGCGAAGAAGCCCTTGAGAGACTGCTGTCCCTTCGCGAGCGACTGCGAGCTTGAAGAAGCGCCTACGCTGAGCTTGCTTCTCTTGGTTGACTTTGCTGCTGGTGCTCCTGACGAGCGGCGTTTTTCTGGCGAGTTTAGAGGACTCGGAGTCGTTGTGCGTTTGCTGCCGGGACCGGTCGATGCGGCAGGGTGAGCGGGAAGTGTAGTCGCGCCACCAGCCAAAGTGAGAGGCTGCGATATAGCCAAACTGAGAGGCTGCGATACAGCCAAAGTGAGAGGCTGCGATACAGCCAAAGTGAGAGGCTGCGATATATCCCCTCGCGCCGCATTGGGAATGGACTGCGAGTCCTTGGGAGACGTAGTTGTCCTCTTCTTGAACATGTCCTTGATGTTCCGTCGCCTGTCAAACTCTGGCAGCAGCTTTCCTGATAGCGAGAGAAGATCTCTCGTCGCACTAAACTCCCTCACCCTCGATCCGTCCTTGAACATGCCGGGGGGGTTCATGATATCCAGAATGTGCACCTGCTTCCCCCGGCAGTCCACCACGTCTTTTGTCGCCGCGTATACCGGACAGTGATCCGAGCCCATCAGTCCTTCTTGTATGTTCGAATCGGCGAACCAAGTCTTCATCTCAATGCTGCAAAGCACGTAATCAATGCGCGAGCCGAAGTTTCCGGGCCGCGCATTGATCTTCTGCTCCCAGTGGGTGTACATGCCCTCGCGCATCGGATGGAATTCGCGACAGATATCCCAGAGAACGGGCCGCTCTCTGCCTTCATCGCGGTCGCCGGGAACCTTTCCGTTCTCGATGAGTTGGTTGAAGACTCGCCGGTTGGGGGCGTTGAGGTACTCCTCCCGTGTCATGCCCTCTTGCCGCATGCTCTCCTCTGCCTTGGCCGTGTCGATCTCTTCCCTGGACACGTTCAGATCCCCGGTCAAGACGACCCTTTTGCCCATGCCGGCGAGATTCCGGATGCGAGTGTCGAGGGCGGTGATGAAGCCGTAGCGGAAGTTGTCTCTCTGGCCGTTGCTGTTGGCCGGGCTGTAGACGCCGAAGAGCACAAAGGCTGGGAACTCTAGGACGACGCAGCGGCCCTCCGCGTCGAGCGAGGCGGGGTCAACGCCCAGGTCGGCGATCTGTAGGGGTGTTGGATAGCCGCCGATGCGGGCGTCCTCTGGGAGATCTCGGTATGCCGTCGACGAGCCGGGCGGGCAGAGCACTCCGAGGAGGCCTTCTTCGGCGCGGATGGGCGCACATACAGACTGGCGCGTGTATATGCCGACGCCCGAGTACCCTAAGCAGACGTCAGCGCCCGAGACACGACACGGAGCAAGCAAGCAAGCAAGCATGGGACGGACGCAGCAGGAGGCGGCTTACCCTTCTTGTGCTTGGGCAGGCTGAAGTAACAGTCCCAGCCCGGGACCAGCACCATGTCGTCGGTGAGATCTTTGCGCTGGATCTTCAGCTCCTGCATGACGACGACATCGGCCTCCAGGATGTCGAACATGGCGTTGAACGTGCGGTTCTCGCGCCATGGCTGGTAGCCAAACGGGTTGCGGATGCCGTTCACGTTCCAGGTGGTGATTCTGGGCATGGTGCGCGGGCAGGGCTGCTGCAGTGCGACAGGCGCCGCATTCCTGGGCGGCTGGCTCGTATGGCGACGCCGACGCGACCGGCAGCTCGAGCGCGACGAGCAGACGTCGAGCGCGACACGATGTCACGTTGGCGGTGAGCGGCGCGCGGCAAACAGCGCAAACTCGTGTGGTGGTCCCTCGGGGATACCGGACATTACCCGGGCACGTGACACGGAAAATTCCCCCCAATGTATATAACTAGCTTCCTAGCCTTCTATCCAAAAATATACGCGTTTTATTAAGTAAAAGATTTTAGATACTAACTATAAACTATTACTACTAACGTACTTTATCATCGAACTCTCTATATTATCGAACCCCCCACGATTTCTTGGCAACGAAAATTAACGAAAACTAACTCGTTTTTCTTAAATAACTAAGCGAAACCTTAATGTTTTTCTATAAAAATTTATATACATATTCTCTATAGTATATTACACCTTATAGTAAAGTTGCACTAAAATATATTACGTAATTAAAAAGCTATACGTATATAACTAACTTTTAGAAAAAATCTAGTTTACTTCTAGTTAGTACTATTATATCTCTATAATACTCTATAAAACTTATAGTATATAGTATTTATAACGTACTAAAGGTTTCTAGAAAACTTCTATAGCGCTAGCTCTTCTAGGTATAGCGTAATAAGAGATAGAAGTTTATAAAAAGTCTTTCTAGAGTTTTCTTCTCTAACTATATATATATATTAATAATCTAGCTATATAAAGTTATATAGTATAAGATTATATATACTATAAGCTTTCTATATATTTAGAAGTAATAATTTTAAAATAGTTTTAGTATATTTCTCTCTTTCTATACTATACTACTAAAAAGACTTTACTTTTAAATAACTACTTAAAGCTACTATATTATTAGGTAATAAGCTCTATATAGTTAAAGTCTACTATAATTTATATAATAATAAGTTTATATAGCTAGATTAACTATATATATATATAGTTAGAAGAGAAAACTCTAAAAAAGATATTTTTCTAACTTCTATCTCTTATTACGCTATACCTAGAAGAGCTAGCAGTATAGAAGTTTTCTAGAAACCTTTATTACGTTATAGATACTATATACTATAAGTTTTATATATTATTATAGAGATATAATAGTACTTACTAGAAGTAAACTAGATTTTTTCTTAAAAGTTAGTTAAATACGTATAGCTTTTTAATTACGTAATATATCTTAGTGCAACTTTACTGTAAGGTGTAATATACTATAGAGAATATATATATAAATTTTTATAGAAAAATATTAAGGTTTTGCTTAGTTATTTAAGAAAAACGAGTTAGTTTTCGTTAATTTTTCTTGCTAAGAAATCGTAGGCGGTTTGCTTATATAGGCGGTTCGCTTATAAAGTACGTTATTAGTATTATAATACTATTCTTAATAAATCTATAAAGCTATTTTCTTAGTATATATTTATTATATAATCTCTTATTATATATATATATTATAACTAGCTTTCTCTTTAAGATTCTAGTTATAGTCTTTTACTAATAGTTTTTTCTTAGACTTAAAGCTAGATTTAACTAACTTAAATACTAAGTCTTAAAGTATATTATTTATAATAGCTATATATTCTTAAATATATACTTTTATAACCTATATTCTCTAATAGTAAATAGTAGAATAGACTTTAAATAAGATATTTTTAACTTCTTAAAGTATATTCTATTTACTCTTATAAATAGTAATTATAATAATAATAGTATATACTAGCTTAAGTATATTATAGTCTATATATATTTAGACCTAGCTTATTCTACTAATTTTTATATAGTAACTAATTATCTAAAAAAGAAGTAAATAACTAAAGCTAGTATAATATAGAAAGAGATAGATAAAGTCTTATAGCTAGAGAAGATAAAAAGTAAAAGATTAGATAATATTATTAAAAAGAAGAGCTAGAGTAAAAAAAAAGATAAAATAAATCTTCTTTAAAGATAGTTATTTAAATAGAAAGATATTTTAAAAGTTTAAGAAAAAAATTCTTATATTTCTACTACTACTTTATAAAAAAGCTACTAAGACTACTTTTCTATACTAGATATAATATAGTAATACTAAATCTTAGAATTTCTCTAATAAGTACTATCTAGCTTTAAGATATTAATTAGAGATAAAGTTATTAAGACTTATAGGTCTATATACTTATATTAGTTAGTCTATACTATATCTTAGCTAATAGTATATTATACTTACTTATAATAAACTTAAGTAAAGAACTAGTATATTACTACTCTCTACGTATTTCTACTCTTCTTATAACATATTAAAATTCTCTAATACAGCTCTAAGTATCTAAAGTCTTACATTCTATTTATCGCTTAATGCATGTTAACTAAGCTCTACCGCGTCCTTGACCATGCTCTTGAGCCTCTTGAATTTATGCTAGGCGACCTGCATGCATGGTCTTATCGCTGGCTGCACTGATTGAAGCCTGAGGAGGCTCTGCGTACCGGAGGGTGTCGAACTAGGCTCTAGGCGGCTGGGTCTGTGTATAGAAGTAGCTAGAAGTAGAAGTGCAGGAGAGGTAGGTCTGCCGTCTTCTATTTAAGCGGCGGAAAAAGTACGATTTAGGCCGCAGGGCCTGAAGCGGAGGGGATTATCGCCGGCCTTGTTCTAAGGTTATCGGTGCCCACATCTTCGGTTGTGCAATGTGTACGGGGACGCTTCCGGCATCTGGAGGAAAGGAAGAGCGAGGCTGATTCGGTCGAGATGGGTACGCTGGCGCCAGTGAAATAGCAGGCAGAAGGTGAAGCTGAGGTGGCCTCGGTCGGGGAGTGCTCGCGCCGGCGCTTTAAATCACGGACTGGGCTGCGAGAGGCGGACTCCGGAAGCTTGCTCGCAAAGGGGCTGTTTAGGCTCCCTGGTGAAGGAGGAGGCGATAGATTGCTGACGCTGACACTACCGCTGCCGGCGCTGCTACTGGGCGTCGGCGGCGTCAAAACTGTCATTAATTCGCGGAGCGCCATGTGCTTGTCGCTCTGAAACTGCGCGCGCACCGATGGCGGAGTGTGTCCCTGCGGCCACGTGTCCGCCTGCTCTCCGTATATAACCCTTCGCACGGCTCCCTTCTCCTGGAGTCGGCGAAGGGCATGTACGAGGGCGGCCGCGAAGTTGGCGTTGTAGCGAGATGCGAAGGTGGGTGTCGAGATGGGCGGGACGAGGAACTTGCCCTGCGTGGCCACAATGTCGGGAAGCTGGTCTGCAGCGTTGTTAGTGCCATCGAGAGATATGCGTTGTGGCTGTGGACAGAGAAATGCTGAGCACTCGACGAAGACGATGCAGCGGGGTGCGGAGGTGGGCGTTGTGATGGGCGGGGAGAGGAACTTACCATGCGTGGCTACGATGTCGGGGAGCTGGCCTGCGGCATCGTCACCGCCATCGCCATTGTCATCGCCATTGAGAGCCATGCGCTGTGGCAGTGAGCAGAGAAATGCTGAGCGCTCGACAAAGACGTTGGCAGAAGGACGCGAGAGTGAGAGAGACCTCCAACGGGCTGCAGTCATTGGCTTCGGCTCGAGTCGGCTTATCTAAGCCGCCTTTGTCAGCGATTGACCCCCACCTTCAGGGCTTGGCACCCACTCCCTCACTTCCAACAAAAAAATTCCAACCGCTCAACCGCATACCAATTCCAGCGATCATGGCGGACGAGAGCTGCATATATGCTAAGCTCACCCCGAGCAATGTCGCCGCGAAGCTGGCTTTCAGTGCCGTCGCCGACAGCCTTCTTACCGCTCAACAGCCGTTATATCACAGATCCTTCATGGACATTAGCTCTACCAAACAATCCGACGCCGAAGTTGCAGCGTTTCTATCTCGCAACCAAGATGCTAGTCTAAGTGACACGCCAACAGAGCCGGACACGGAGACTGAACGCGAATGGGAAAAGGATGCGCGGCTGTCTATCTGGACAGGCTCATACATCATCGACTTGCGGAGCGAGCACGTCAATTCGTCGGCTTCATGGACGGCCGGTCGAGGACGAACTGGTGCGGTGCAGGACGTCCAGTTCCTCCTGTGTCCACGCAAGCAGAAAGCCCAGGTGCGAGGCATCCACGCCCATTTCACAGTCCATCCAGACACTGGCTTTATCCGTGTCCAGCAGAGACAGATAAACGCCAGCACATGCGTAAACGGTGAGGAAACCGAACGAGCTATCCACATCAACGGCGCAACAGCCAGAATCGCGATCGGAGATCTTATGTACAACTTTGCATACGCGTAAGCATTACCAACTCTGGTCTCCGTACGCAACCAACTCTTGCAGAGGCTGAACAACACTCTGGACGCTACGTATATGCTCACGCCCACGCCTTCTACAAACAGACGAACCGTCGGGAAGTGGGCTTTCTCAACCGAAATAGGTATTGGTGCCTAGGGCAAGGTGTACGCTGCCACAAATACCCATGGGGAGACCGTCGCGCTCAAAATCATCAGCCGCACAAGGAAAGATTGGGAAATCGTGAACTAGCAAATTGAAAGGCTACAGGATCTGAGCAAAATCATCCAAGCTAATAACCCTGGAAGAGTCTCCTTCCTCCAAGAGGCCCTATATGCCGAAGGAAATAGCGCCATCACCCCTTTTCAGGAAGTCTTTCTTATCCTGAGTCCACTTTGCCAGCTCAATCTGTCGACCGTTATACACGATTCCCCTGGTGTGACTGACGCCAACCTTGCCCTCTTCTGCGGTGCGCTCTAAGGAATACAATACGTCCATTCAATTGCTTGGGTCCATCGAGACATTAAACCCGACAATATCGGAGTAAGAGGCGCGCAAGCCGTGCTTCTGGATATGGACGGCGCCCGGCCGCTTCAGCACGGAAAGATTGCCTGCCGCCCAGGCTCCTGCGGGACCGTGGGTTATCTGGCCCCCGAGATGGAGCAAAGGGATTACGACGAACTTGTTGATGTCTGGAGCCTGGGAGTGGTGGGCATTCAGCTTTTCCATCAGACGCATCCGTGGGCACTACCTGCGAATCCTTTCCGCAAGGACTTCGAAGGCAAGTATCTGCACGAGTTTCGGCGCCGATACGACTTCTGGGCTGCGAAGCTCCGGAATGCGCATACGACCTCTATACAGCACTTGTTAACGCAAATGCTACGGCTGGGTGTCAAAATGGACAAAGACCCAAATCCGGGACAACGTATCTCAGCGGATGAAGCCCTGCGACATGATGTGTGGAAGAAAGACGAAGCAGACGAACATGGGCCGCTTAAGAAAGCCAAGATGGGATGAAACAGTGGGAAGCGGTGTGGCGTGGGCATCGTAGGGCATTGGCAGGCGCACGCAACATGCGGATAGCAAAAAAATGGCATGGTTATGCTTGGTAAGAAGAGGCGGGTCCTAGTTCTTTCCTAGGGCAGATGGTTAATATATCATACAGGTATAGCGTCGGCGTTGTAGAAGGGGCATCTGATGTTCTCTCTTATTCCAAGCGTTACGACGATACCCCGTATCAGGCCGGTTTATTCTAAGGCCTTGAACAATGCTACTACATGCGAGAATAGTCTTTCGCCATTGTAATAAGTAAATTATGCACTCAAGGTTGCTTCTCGTCCTGTCGGGCGAAATCCGGCCCTCGGAGACGGGCAAGGCCTGCGACGAGGAGGTAGAGACCAACACGATCACGCATAGTAACTAACCCAGACCTTAGTATCGCTAGTCCATCGAACAGTCTCTTCGTTACCGACGTCGCAAAAAACAGGGCGCACCTGTAGTTACCAAGCACATCGTAGAGCGAGAGGCTGTATTAGAGAGCTTAGGCGGTATAGCTAGGTACACTAGATTTCGCAGGCTTTTAAATCGTCTTAAGAGAAAACACTCTAGCTAATAAAACGTACACATATCGTCTAACGTCGTTATAGCGGCATACTAAGTACTTATCTACTAAGATAGTATTCTAGATTAAATAGTATATAGAATCTAGTAAAGATCTATTATTTATAATTTAAAAAGATATAAAATTACTAGTATAATTATATAGTAAAATATAAGTAAAGTAATTATAATTAGATTTATAGAATAATATACTTTACTATATAATAAAATATAAGTAAAGTAATTATAATTAAGTTTATAAAACGCTAGTAAAACTTTAGTTTCTAATTTAGATAAAAAAATTACCTAATTAGAGATTCTAACATTCTACTAAAAATTAATTAGATATAACGTACTTTATAAGCGAACCGCCTACACAAGTAAACCGCCTACGATTTCTTAGCAAGTGTAATGGTTCGACTCGGCTCCGACTCGGTGCTTCGGCCCGACTCGGCTTCGCCCAAGTCACATGACCCTGCCTAGCGCCTTGGCATAGGCACCCTGTGTATATAGAGAGCTCTTAGAGCATCCTTCTACTCCTCACCTTTGGATAGCTGAATTTAACCCAACCTACCCTGCTAGCACCCCTTATCCTTACAGCTCGTGGAGACAGTGCTGCCTGCAGCCGACCTACCCAGCTAGGTATTCCAGGGGCGCTCACAGCAGTGGAGACCGCGGACCCAGCCCTCACAGCAAGGAAAATTAACGAAAACTAACTCGTTTTTCTTAAATAACTAAGCGAAACCTTAATATTTTTCTATAAAAATTTATATACATATTCTCTATAGTATATTACACCTTATAGTAAAGTTACACTAAAATATATTACGTAATTAAAAAGCTATACGTATATAACTAACTTTTAGAAAAAATCTAGTTTACTTCTAGTAAGTACTATTATATCTCTATAATAATATATAAAACTTATAGTACATAGTATTTATAACGTAATAAAGGTTTCTAGAAAACTTCTATAGCGCTAGCTCTTCTAAGAATAGTATAATAAGAGATAGAAGTTAGAAAAACTTCTTTTTAGAGTTTTCTTCTCTAACTATATATATATATTAATAATCTAGCTATATAAAGTTATATAGTATAAGATTATATATACTATAAGCTTTCTATATA